TGACACTTATTGTATGGTCTCTTAACGTGCTAGTGACACCCTGCTTTTCATTGGGGGGATGGTGCATCGTCTGCCAAGTCTTTTGCTTTCGTAATGAGTGATTTTCGTGTGCAAGTTCGGTACTAGTCCCCTCTAGGATTTTCCAGGTGTATATAATCATGTATCTCTCCCTCCTGCGTTCCAGGGAATACAGGTTTAGGAACCTCAAGCGCTCCAATAATTGAGGTGTTTTATCTCCGTTATGCGCGCCGTGAAAGTTCTCTGTACATTTTCTAGGTCGGCAATTTCACCTGCCTTGAAAGGTGCTGTTAGTGTGCAGCAATATTCCAGCCTAGATAGAACAAGTGACCTGAAGAGTGTCATCATGGGCTTGGCCTCCCTAGTTTTGAAGGTTCTCATTATCCATCCTGTCATTTTTCTAGCAGATGCGATTGATACAATGTTATGGTCCTTGAAGGTGAGATCCTCCGACATGATCACTCCCAGGTCTTTGACGTTGGTGTTTCGCTCTATTTTGTGGCCAGATTTGTTTTGTACTCTGATGAAGATTTAATTTCCTCATGTTTACCATATCTGAGTAATTGAAATTTCTCATCGTTGAACTTCATATTGTTTTCTGCAGCCCACTGAAAGATTTGGTTGATGTCTGCCTGGAGCTTTGCAGTGTCTGCAATGGAAGACACTGTCATGCAGATTCGGGTGTCATCTGCAAAGGAAGACACGGTGCTGTGGCTGACATCCTTGTCTATGTCGGATATAAGGATGAGGAACAAGATGGGAGCGAGTACTGTGCCTTGTGGAACAGAGCTTTTCACCGTAGCTGCTCGGACTTTACTCTGTTGACGACTACTCTCTGTGTTCTGTTAGTGAGGAAATTATAGATCCATCGACCGACTTTTCCTGTTATTCCTTTAGCACGCATTTTGTGCGCTATTACGCCATGGTCACACTTGTCGAAGGCTTTTTCAAAGTCTGTATATATTACATCTGCATTCTTTTTGTCTTCTAGTGCATTTAGGACCTTGTCGTAGTGGTCCAATAGTTGAGACAGACAGGAGCGACCTGTTCTAAACCATGTTGCCCTGGGTTGTGTAACTGATGGGTTTCTAGATGCGTGGTGATCTTGCTTCTTAGGACCCTTTCAAAGATTTTTATGATATGGGATGTTAGTGCTATTGGTCTGTAGTTCTTTGCTGTTGCTTTACTGCCCCTTTGTGGAGTGGGGCTATGTCTGTTGTTTTTAGTAAACTGTGGGACGACCCCGTGTCCATGCTCCCTCTCCATAGGATGGAAAAGGCTCGTGATAGGGGCTTCTTGCAGTTCTTGATGAACACAGAGTTCATGAGTCTGGCCTGGGGCAGGAGTGCATGGGCATGTCATTTATCGCCTGTTCGAAGTCATTTGGCGTCAGGATAACATCGGATAGGCTTGTGTTAATCAAATTTTGTGGCTCTCTCATTAAAAAATTCATTTTGATCTTCGACTCTCAGTCTGGTTAGCGGCTTGCTAAAAACTGAGTCATATTGGGACTTGAGTAGCTCACTCATTTCCTTGCTGTCATCTGTGTAGGACCCATCTTGTTTAAGTAGGGGCCAATACTGGACGTTGTTCTCGATTTTGATTTGGCATAGGAGAGAAATACTTTGGGTTTCATTCGATTTCATTTATGGCTTTTAGTTCTTCCCGCGATTCCTGACTCCTAAAGGATTCTTTTAGCTTAAGTTCGATGCTTGCTATTTCTCTGACCAGTGTCTCCTACGCATTTCAGATATATTGACCTCTTTTAGCCGCTTGTTATTCTTTTCCGTCGCCTGTAAAGGGAGCGCCTGTCTCTTTCTGTTTTACATCTACTCCTCCTTTTTCTTAGAGGAATAAGCCTTGTGCATACATCGAGTGCCACCGAGTTAATCTGTTCTAGGCGTAAGTTGGGGTCTGTGTTGCTTAGTATATCTTCCCAGCTTATATCGGTTAGGACTTGGTTTACTTGGTCCCACTTTATGTTTTTGTTATTGAAGTTGAATTTGGTGAATGCTCCTCGTGACTAATCTCATTATGTCGGTCTGGGGCTCCGCGCATACATGACTGAACCTCAATTATGTTGTGATCTGAGTATATTGTTTTTGATATGGTGATATTTCTTATCAGATCAAGAAATAATGCAAAGTGCCAATATGCCTCTGAGGGAATGGAATAGTAATTCGTTACAGTATGCCCAGTAAATTAACTAAGAGAGTCTTGCTTGCTGAAGTTTCCAAATGTTTTGATCCACTAGGTTTAGTGTCACCCCTTACTATAAGAGGGAAATTATTAATTCAGGAAGTATGGAAACTTAAATGTGCTTGTGATGAAATTCTACCTGAGGAATTCATTAACAGGTGGGATGAATTAATTGGTGATTCTGAGAAAATTTCAATGTTTGAGTTCTCACGCCAGGTGGCCAATCCAAATGGGAAAAATGTACTCCACATTTTTTGTGATGTTTCAAAATTGGCATATGGAGCAGTTGCTTACCTTCAATGTAATAGTGTTATTTCTATTGTTATGTCTAAGGCTAAAGTGTCTCCAATTAAATCACGTACCTTGCCTCAGTTGGAATTAACAGCCATTTATGTAGGTGTCAAATTAGCTAATTATATAAGAAATAAGTTGCAGGAGATAAATATTAGCGACACTGTAATTTGGTCTGATAATGAGGTATCCTTACAATGGATTCGTAATGGAAGCAGTAAAATTGTGTACGTACAAAACAGAGTCGCTGAAATTAATCAGATGCAAGAGAAGTATAATAGTTTGGGTCAGCATATGTTAACATTTAATCATATACCTGGTGAGGAGAATTCAGCTGATTTCTTGTCTCGAGGTTTACCTTATGTTAAATTTGTAAATGCTGTATCATGGTTTAAAGGACCAAGCTGGTTGGTAAATAAAACTAATTGACCTTTACAAAAGGCGTATATTGCTCCTGTTGAAATTACTGTGACCACCGCTCCAATAGTTTGTCCTCCCTTAGCCATTGATATAAATAGGTATTCTTCTTTACCCAAACTAATAAATGTAACAAAGTTGGTGTTTAAATTTCTAAACAAGATGAATATTTCATATAAGTTTTCACATCCTCTTGAATATTGGATAAAGAGGGTACAGGAGGAAATCTATGAAAATGAGATTAAATTGATGATGGAAAGAAAAATTGTGAAAGGTTCCATAATAGAGAAATTGGGGCACACGAAAATCACTCACTACGAAAGCAAAAGACTTGGCAGACGATGCACCATCCCCCCAATGAAAAGCAGGGGTGTCACTAGCACGTTAAGAGACCATACAATAAGTGTCAGGGGCCCGAGACTGTTCAACTGCCTCCCAGCACACATAAGGGGGATTACCAACAGACCCCTGGCAGTCTTCAAGCTGGCACTGGACAAGCACCTAAAGTCAGTTCCTGATCAGCCGGGCTGTGGCTCGTACGTTGGTTTGCGTGCAGCCAGCAGCAACAGCCTGGTTGATCAGGCGCTGATCCACCAGGAGGCCTGGTCACAGACCGGGCCGCGGGGGCGTTGACCCCCGAAACTCTCTCCAGGTAAACTCCAGGTAACAATGTAATTAGGTGCAGAGGTAGGTTACAAAATGCTGAATTGGGTGATTATGCTAAACACCCTATCTTACTGCCCAAAACTCATTATCTAACAAATTTGATTGTTCTAAATGCTCATAAAAATGTAATGCATGGCAGGGTACAAGATACCTTAAATTGTATTAGGGAAACTTTCTGGATTCCACAAGGACGGCAAAGTGTAAAAAGGGTGATTAAATCCTGTGTAATATGTCGCCGTGTGGATGCCAGATCCTATATGTACCCAGGTCCTCCACCATTGTCGAAGGAGTAATTTGAGTCGTTTAGCAACGAACTCCGGCTGGCTGCAGTGTGGAAAATACTGTATATATTTTCCAGAAATTCAGTATTTATATGTAAATAGATGGCCATACTGTATTTAATAATATTTATGTCATAGAAAACGGAAAGCCTGCGTCTGCGCAGACGAGACTCGCCATCTTGGTTTTGAATTGGATACAACGTTAATATAATGGGAAGAATTTTTCGTGCTCTAGAGGTTAAAATTGGATTGACACCTCTCAAATAGGAGGCGAAATTGTTGGATGTGCATTCCTGCATAACTTGAGATATCAGACGACTGGACAAGACAGCTCCAGGAACCTCAGATAAGCTCTCTAGATTTGTGTATAATTCTGGCCAGTGTTTTCATAAATTTAGTTAGTGAGGTGTTTCTGAGTATGATGCAACTTAATATCCAGTCAAATTGGTGAGTGATATTAAGATATATTTTCCTTCTGTTATGTATATGTGAATTTATATATAATCATTTTTTAATATACAGTCCACAAATTTATATATTTACCAGTATTCCTGGTGTATGTATATTTCATTTAATTAATAGGTCCAGAGCAACTTGTGGTTATGATAGTGGTAGGTATCGAAGGGGGACATTTTTTGCAGCCTAGGTGTCCCAAATTCCTACTTGTCTATGTAACATTGATAAATAATAATTATCTTTGTTATCATTTACTGTTATGTACATAATTAGTTACATTCAGATAAATGCAATTTTCCACATTATTATTATTATTATTATTATTAAACAAGCTATGATTAATTTCTTTAGTATTAAGTAGTCTGTAAGCCATTAAATTAAGTGCCCATAATGCCTAGGTATGTAGTGACTCTGCACTGTAACTCATTATTGTAATTTCATAATCTTAATGTAATCTTCCAAAGAAATAAATTTTGTTTGTTTTTTTATACCTATTTCCCGGACTTCCGGGAAACATGTATTGCCGCAGTCAGCTTTGGTAACCCTGACAACCCCAACATCAACCTTGTTGGATAGTTCATTGACTCCTTGTTGCTGGACTGAGGTGAGGGTGTTGGGTGTCCAGCTCTGCTGGGCTTGAGGAGGAGAGTCCATCTGGTGTTATTGGTAACGTGTAGTTTGTTCCTATTTACAAAAGGACTTGTGTTCCCTTTTCTTTCATTGTCCAGCTTTGGGCAATAAATATCTAAGGACCCCAATGTAAATAAGAAATGACACCAATGGAAATAAGCAAGGACTCCAATGGAAATAAGTCAAGTTGACTTTTTTATGGAACTGTATTTATGTGTGCCTGTACTAAATAAACTTACTTCTCCATATATGGGGAAGTAGGGCTCGATACGACATTAGCTGTCAGTGGTCCTTATAAACCCAACAAGAATAATATTCACGGCTTGATCTCTTGGTTAGTAAGTTGTATATATTTGATGCATTTAAGCATTATAAAGTGTCGGTCTTGGTGGTATGTGGACATCTCTCTCTGACCTTAAATAATGGTGATAAATACCCTTTATTCTGATTTTTGGGCCGTATGTTTTCCTACTTTTGTTTTTTACTGTAACTTTAGCATAAAGATATTACAAGGACCTCGATAGAAATAAGTCACTTTGTCTAAATTTTGAGGGGTTTTCCTGGTGAATTTACACATGTTAGACTATGTATGATAATTGTACTTATATGTACCTTTATGTAAATAAACTTAGAGCGTTTTAAATATCATTTTTGGCGAATGTCTACCTTAGCTCCTGAAGCGACTACATGTGATATCTTCTACCCAGCACTTGACAATGTGCATAATTGTTTTGTGTGTTGCCGTTATCTTTGTTATTCTATCTTAAGTGTTTTCGTCAAAAAAATAAACATTTTCACTTCATTTCATCATCATACCTGGAGTTTACCTGGAGAGAGTTTCGGGGGTCAACGCCCCCGCGGCCCGGTCTGTGACCAGGCCGCCTGGTGGATCAGCGCCTGATCAACCAGGCTGTTGCTGCTGGCTGCACGCAAACCAACGTACGAGCCACAGCCCGGCTGATCAGGAACTGACTTTAGGTGCTTGTCCAGTGCCAGCTTGAAGACTGCCAGGGGTCTGTTGGTAATCCCCATAGGCCCAAAATTTTCTACAAAGAAAGTGCATTATGATCATCATGGGTCCCAAGCATCTTTAATTATTTAACGAAAGCTCTTATTCATGAAAGATGAAGTAAATCTTCATCCACAGGTTGTCTTTAGATTGGACATTATTGGTGGTGTAACAGTTGCCATCTGTTCCCTACATCTACCTGCTTCCTTCTTCCACCACCACCACAACCTCCTCCTGCCTTTACCTACTGTAATGTTGCACACCAAGTCTGATATGCATGTGAACAACAATGTAAAAAGTAATGTGCGAGTTCTACTTACTTTTCATAAACTTAAAATTGTTTTTCTCACCTATATTTATTACTCTCAATTTTATGCTGTATGGGAATTGAGACTTGGATGAGGACTCTACCAAAATCCCAACTATACACATGTCAGCCTGAACAAGTGTCAATTTAGAAGTTCTATAATTTCTGTTTCTTGATAGGGTAATGGTGAGCCATGTTGGGTACAAGGACAACCAGGAGCATTTGACTGCCAAGGATCATGCATTTGCCGGTGCTGTTAGCGGGTTTCTTACTCGGGGCTTTCTACAGCCTTTGGATGTTCTTAAAATTCGATTTCAGGTGAGTACTCATAGTACTGAAGCTTTTAAATGTTTAATTTTTTTTATATATGCTAGTGCACTCAGCGCACACACTGAGGTCTGGGGATCAATCCCCAGTATGGATGGAAACATTAGGACATGTTTCCATAAAACACTGCTGTGTTGCATGGGTACTTAATGGAGATGTAGGAGTAAGGAATACACTCGTTGGACAGTTGGTACACGTATATTGGCAGAGTCTTGAGGGGAGTGTAGCCCAGCCTACCTGTTTTCGGTTGTATCCTGAGGACAGAGTGAGGGCGAGACCACTCATACCCTACTCACATGGGCATAGCCTGGTGATGTCACAGACTAGTCACTGAGCCTAGCTGAAGGGATCCTATATATATATATATATATATTATATATTTATATATATATATATTTATATATATTTATATTATGGGTGGTACAACTTACGATATATTACACAAGTATTACATAGGAATTTAGTAACCCTACTGACAGCTGTCCATGTTTGCCCATCAGTGAAATAGGTACCTCGATGTTAGTCAGCTGGTGTGGGTCGCATCCTGAGACAAAATTGACCTAAATTGTCCGAAATGCTCTGTCACTGATGTCAACTAGGTCTCTATACCTTGTAAATGCACTTGTAGAAATAAAGATTATTATTATTATTCTTTTCAAAACTCTGGCCGTCTCCTGCTGAGGGTGGGTGATCCAAAAAAGAAAGAAACACTTTCACCATCATTCACCCATAATCAGTCTTTGCAGAGGCACGAAGATACGACATTTCAGATGTCACTCCAAATAGCAAATATCCCAAACCCCTCCTTTAACCCTTTGACTGTTTTCGACGTATAAATACGTCTTACGAGCCAATGTTTCTGACGTATATATACTCAATAATTCTAGCGGCTTCAAATCAAGTGGGAGAAAGCTGGTAGGCCCACATGTGAGAGAATGGGTCTGTGTGGTCAGTGTGCACCACATAAAAAAAATCCTTCAGCACACATTGCGTAATGAGAAAAAAAAAACTGATCGTTTTTTTGGAATAAAACGCCGACTTTGAGGTGTATTTTCGTATAGTATTTATCGTTGTATTCGCATTTTCATGGTCTTAGGTGATAAAATGGAAAACATATTACAGAAATAGAGATGATTTTCATTACTTTTACGATGAAAACGACCTTGAAACTGAGCTCAAAGTAGCGGAAATGTTCGATTTTTACCAATGTTCAAGAGTACATAAATCACACCACACGTCCAATACATGTCAACTGGGGAGTCTAATATTCTTTCACTAGTGCACTGATATTATTTATACCATTTTTACAATAATGCAGTCGTCTGCATAACAGTAAATTTTGTATTTTTTTGTATGAATAAAAAATCAAAATAGAAAGCAATAATAATATAAGAGGGGCCTAGAGATGTGACTAATGAACAGAGCATATGTTATTTTAGTGCCACGAATGTCTACCTTGTTTATTCTGGACCCTATTTTGAAATTGGCATCTTTTTTATTTTGCGTGAAATTGGCCAAATTGCCAATTTCTGACCACCATATTGGGTAGTCCAAATTAGTAAATGGGAGGTTTCTTGTACTCAGCTGATAGATAAAATGGAGTTCTAAAGAAATAGCTATGAGTTTGGTCAACTGGAACAATGGAATTGGCTGAAAATTGGGCTCAAAGTCGGCGAAATCGCCGATACGCATATGTCGCCGAGACCGCTAACTTCGCGGGAGCATAATTCCACGAGTTTTCGACCAAATTTCGAACTTTTGGTGTCATTACCATCGGGAAAAGATTCTCTATCATTTCATAAGAAAAAATAATTTTTTTTTTTTCAAAAATTGAGCGACATAGAATGACAGTTTCAGAGAGGGGCCTGAAACAGTCAAAGGGTTAAAGTGTAGGCATTGTACTTCCCGCCTCCAGGACTCAAGTCCCACTAACTGGGTTTTCCTGAATCCCTTCACAAAATATTACCCTGTTCACACTCCAACAGCTTGTCAAGTCCCATAAACCATTAGCCTCCACTCACTCCTAATACACTCATACATGCCTGCTGTATGTCCAAGCCCCTTGCACACAAAACCTCTTTTACCCCTCCTTCCATCCTTTCCTAGGACAACCCCTACCCCTCCACTGCAGATTTATACACACTACAAGTCGTCATATTTTGCTCCATCCTCTCGAAATGACCAACCCACCTCAACAACCCCTCCTCAGTCCTCTGAATAATACTTTTAATAACTCCACACCTAATTTACACAAAATGAATTTTCTGCATAATAATTACACCATGCATTGTCCTTAGGCACGACATCTCTTTTAGACTCCATGATGAGGCATCAATAAGTAACTTCACAACAGAGCGAAGTATAGCTGACTGGCCTACAGACTTTTTCAGTGGTATCAGTGATTGGATAGACATATTTCTTAACAAATTACTTAGAGTATATGACACATTGTCCCATTAAAACAAAACACATTACGAATAAATGATTAGGTTACCCGTGGCTTACTGACAGCATACTATGATCCAATAAGAAGAAATATCAGTATGAAAAACAATGTAGACAGGGCTTAATTAGCAAAGATATTATTAAACATTACGCATCAGTCCTCGCCAAACTAATAAGAAAGGCTAAGCAATTGTACTATTCTAATAGATTCACTGAAACAAGAGGAAATATAAAAAAGACCTGGAAGACACTACAATTCTGGGCACCTACAAACTGAAAAAACTATGGATATTGTCCTACTTAAACCGAACGAACCACAAGTACAGTGGACCCCCGCTTAACAGTCACCTCTCAATGCGACCAATTATGTAAGTGTATTTATGTAAGTGCGTTTGTACGTGTATGTTTGGGGGTCTGAAATGGACTAATCTACTTCACAATATTCCTTATGGGAACAAATTTGGTCAGTACTGGCACCTGAACATAATTCTGGAATGAAAAAATATCGTTAACCGGGGGTCCACTATACAGCCTGTTGATACAGTTAACAAGATAAATGACTTTTTCTCAACCATAGGACCAAATCTCGCCAGTAAAATCTCAGGCGCCAATGCCTGAGCGAATGATTACTTAGATGGGAATTTCCCAAGTTCCTTCTGTCTTACACCAACTGAGCCCACAGAAGTCACCATGATTATTAAGTCTCCTGAACCAATGACTCTACAAGCATTTCAGAACTACTGTTAAAAAATACCTTATCTCCCTAACTCGCCCCATCATCAGTTAACTGTGTGAAAACGACACATACTATTTTCAGTGTCGTGAACACACATCCATAACAAAATAGACTTGCTCTCATTATCTGTAATTCTCCCAATGTAAACATAAAATTCCTAATCTTAAGTTAGTCCTAAGTTTGCCTAAAATGCATATTCCAACAATATAGGAGCTTTTGATTACAGAAACAGCATATCATGCCAAGATAAAAACCATTCCCATTACTAAATTATACTAATTGTAATACTCTTATATGTTTTGTACTACCTCACTGTTACCAATCTTATTAATGTTTAACATTTTAATTACTTATTACACTAATATGCAATAATAAATATTAAAATGTACTGCTCCATAACCTGTGTCAATATAGAATCATCATAAGAATAAGGATTAGTCTGTCCAAAATGCCAAGGCATGCTAGCGGCTTTCTTTGTAATTTTTTTTTTCAACAAATCAGCCGTATCCCACCGAAGCAGGTGGCTCAAAAAGGAAAATGAAAGTTTTTCTTTTTAACTTTAGTAATGTATACAGGAGAAGGGGTTACTTGCTCCTGGCATTTTAGTTGCCTCTAACGACACACATGACTTACGGAGGAAGAATTCTGTTCCACTTCCCCATCAAGATAAGAGGAAATAAACAAGAACAATAACTAGTAAGAAAATAGAAGAAAAACCCAGAGGGGTGTGTATATATATGCTTGTACATGCAGGTGTAGTGTGACCTAAGTGTAAGTAGAAGTAGCAAGACATACCTGAAATCTTCATGTTTATAGAAACAGAAAAAAGACACCAGCAATCCTACCATCATGTAAAACAATGACAGGCTTGTGTGTTACTCACTTGGCAGGAAGGTTGTACCTCCCTTGGTGGTTGCTGTGTGCCAACCTACTACCTAGGCTTATTATTATTATTTTTATTATTACAGATCTTTATATTGCTGTGAATACTGTGTGCTATCTTTTATCATACAATATTGTAAAAATTTATTCATAATTACTTTGGAAACTAATAAATCTTAAAATACCATAGTAGCAGTGAATTGTTTATAATACAGCCTCTCCTCACTTAATGACAGAGTTCTGTTCCTAAGATCACGTCTGCAAACAAATTCGTTGCTAAGTGAGGAACATACTATAATGGTAGTTGGTTTGTGTCGACTATCTTTGACATTGTTTTAATGTCACTTTGCACCTTTTTTAACATTTCTGGTATATTTTTAAAATGTTTATACAGTAGTGTACTGTATATTGTAGTAAACAGAATAAAGGAAATCAGCTCTGATATACATTATTTAGGTATGCATACTGGTCAGAGTCCGTCGTAAGTCCAAGGTGTCGGTAAACAGTACGCCACTAAGTGAGGAGAGGCTGTATATAGTATTTTTAATATAGGTTTGTGTGTACAGTACAGACATTTAATTTTCATGAACAGTTTTGCTTTTATGGATCTATATGTTGCATTGTGACTTGCATATGTTGCAGCAGCTTCATGAAAGTAATGTGACAAGGACTGATAATGAAATTTTGCCATACAGTTACAAGTGGAGTCGACATTACGACGTGGTGGTGGTCTTTACCATGGAGTCATACAGAGTGCTGTCGTAATAGTGCGCAGTGAGGGCCTAACTGCTCTCTGGAAGGGACATGTACCTGCCCAAGCCCTGAGTATCTGCTTTGGAGTAGCACAGGTGAAATTTTTCCATTGTTAACATAAATATGGTATGCTGTATATCCTTCTACATTTTTTCATCCCTAAATAATATTTCGAGTTATTGAGCTGTTAGGAGACATCATAGAGCATGATAAAAGTTAAAGTATAAAATTTTCCAAATTGTTTTTTTTTTTTAAATTAATTTATGTTAGTCCATATAGTAGTTACTGTTATTTTACTGTAGAGTATGGAATAGTTCCTTCAGGGTTTAAGTACACATAGTATTATGAATACCGGCAGTGGCGGTCCTGGCATTTTTGTTGCCCTAGGCGAGATTGTGCAAAGGTGTACCTGCTTCCAGCAACAGTACACCTTATGCCTCCCTCTCTCTTCTGGTGCAATAAAACACACATTGTCTTTGAAGTATAAAGCACCCCCTTCATATATTGTTTTGAGCTTCAGGTAGGAAAAAATCGTCTTTAAACAAAGACCACAATATGGATAAATATTGTAAGAATAGTAATGAAACACACTATAATGATTCCAAAATACAGCATAGGTGCAAACAAAATAAAATTTCCAAAATGTATTGCACACAATTGATAAACACTAATGGTAGCTTACTCCAGCAATTGCTTATCACTACAAAGTAATGCATAGATCACCCTAAAATATGAGTAAATTACCACCCTAATATCCAAGAATTCTTGATTATATATCCTAGATTTTGCAAAATTTCAACTTGCCTCCAATTTTACTTCAAAGAAGCTCAAATTATTCTCATAAGGGATATATTACCCTATTGCAGAAGGACTGGCACCTCTTTGGAAAAAAAAGTCACTCCTTGAAAAACCTATGATTTTATGGCATGTTGAAGTTGGCAAAAAAAAATGATTGATCATTAGCAACAGTGGTATAAATGCAGCAGCATTATTTACTTTTTACAATTCATTGAGCCCAAATTATGATTGTTTTTCAGTTTGTTATTGTTTAACACTATGTACATTAGTTCCTTTTATTACATAGTTGTTTTTACTGCTCTAGTCTTTTAACACTATGTACAAGGAATTCTCATGATACAGTATTACAATTGTTTCAAGGTGTAATACTTATCAAAACATGGAAATAAGTCTCATATTTTCACTATATATTGTGTTATCATAGGTTAATAATTGTTACATATTTATTTTGGTTTGAGGAAATAGCTTGGGTTATATAAACAATGTAATTTCTTTGTGTCCATAACACCCGAGTGCCTTCAAGACCACTGTAAAAAATATATTTACAAGGAGATCTAAATATATTACAATTGTATAAAAGTGTAATACTCATTAAAACTTGGAAATAAGTCATGTTGACTCTATTGGTTAAATCTCGATTGTATGCTTTTTGGCTGAATTTACCTTTTTTTTTTTAAGCACCCACCAAGGCAGTGACCAGAAAAAAAAAACTTTCATCATTCATACTGTTCTTCTGTTGGTATCAGGAAATGGAATGAATAAGGCATCTTCCTGTCAGTTTCACACACTTTTTTGCTGGTAGGGAAGCTGGTGGTGGAACAACAGATTCTGGTTTCATTGTTTACTTGCTAGTCATGTTGTGTTACCCATGATGCACTACATGGACTTGTCTGGGCTTAGATTTTTCTCAAAGGTACGAAGAGGTAGCAGGAGACACGAATAATGGCTAAAGTAAAAAATATTGGCAGCTGACATTTTTGAAACCATAAAAAATTGTGCATACTAGTGCATCAGACACACAATCATCACTTGTGTACTAGGACGTTGGACACAGTTCAAAGGTTAATATCAGCTAACAGGATAGGGGTATACTGTTTCACAACATAAAATACAGTGAACATGCAAATAAACCACCATGTAAGGTAGAATCAGTTATGGCAGACTGTTTCAATGTAAAGTATAATACAAACTTTTTCAAGGAAAGCACATAAGAATAAATACCCTCAGAGCAGTGGGAGTCAGAGGCATGTGGGGTAAAGGAAACTAATTGATGATAGTGTTGGTTGTAGGAGTCACTTGTCAAGAACATGAAGTGATCAGCCTCTACAGCACAAACATGATCAGAGATTTTACAATTTTAAAAACTCCTGTTTTGCTTTTTGGTCACAGCATATAAACATGTCTAATAAAGAGACATAATAGGCATGTCAGGATGGTGGTAGAGTACACTGTTTTAAATGGCATGAAACCATTTTTTTTTCCATACCAGGACTGATTTTGTTATACAGTACAGTAGTAGTAGTAGTAGTTTTATTTACATACAAAAGTACTGTAAACATTAGTTTTATCAGAATGAATTAGTTTAAAGTTTGATTTAATGTGACCTTCATCTTTGTTTTAACTTTTATTTGTAAGAGAATGCTGAAAATATTGAACCTTGGGCTTAGTGTGGAGATGTCTTCCACAGTTCTGGAGCTATGCAGTTCTGACCAAAACAGCTAATGAACATGGCATTGGCGAGAGATACTCAATTCATGGGGTGTGTGGAGCATTGGCGGGAACATGTGGCACACTTGCATCTTTTCCATGTGACATTGTACGGACGAGACTCATCGCACAGGGAACTCCCAAGGTACTCTCAAGCTACTAACTAGTAAATTCAGGGCAGAGAACATGAATAAAATTGTGATAAATAAAGTCTGCAGTCATCAAAGCAGATTTGACCTGTGTTCATTTCCGAGATTTGAAATAGAGTACTGAATAATGATTTATTTGAGCAGCGCTACAATGGGATGGTGGATGCCTGGAGAAAGCTGTTACATCAAGAAGGAATACTGAGTCTTTGGCGAGGCTTGGTGCCCACCTTGGCCATGACTGCTCCATACACTGGTCTTACCTTTTATTTCTACAATGCTTTCTTCATTTTAGCTTCCAAGAGCTTTGGAGATGGTAAGAGAATATCTATTTATCAGACCCCTGTTTTTACACTCTGGGATCTGCCACTGACTCTGTCATTTTATTCTCACTCCCTCTCAAAAGTAAATTTATATTCACCCTAATTTCTCAGGCAGGTTTATTGTAATACATATTTTCACAGTACAGTACAACTAGTAGGAATACTTACATCAGTTTAGGGTTATTTGCAAGTCTTTCCAAATACTCTGAAAATAGTCTACACCTTTAGGTGTTAAAAGACAAAAATGGCAGCCATTAACCCTTTCATTGTCGGTCCTGTAATATTATGGAAAGCCAGTGTTGGTCTCGTAATATTATGGCAAATCAGTGTCAGTCCTGTAATAGTATGCCAAAATTCTAGTGGCTTCAAATCTTGCAGGAGAAAGCTGGTAGGCCTACATATGAGAGAATGGGTCTGAGTGGTCAGTGTGCGCAGTATAAAAAAATCCTGCAGTGCATAATGAGAAAACAACTCCGACCATGTTTTTTGTTTAAAACAGCGACCTTGCGGTGTATTTCCATACGGTATTTATGGTTGTAATCTCGTTTCTTGGTCTCATTTGATAGAATGGAAGATATATTACAGAACTAGAGATGATTTTGAATGGTTTACAGACTAAAAGTACCTCAAAATTGAGCACAAAGTAGTGGAAATGTTCGATTTTTGCCGATGTTCAAGAGTAAACAAATCACGTCACGCTTCCAATACATGTCATCTGGTGGTTCTTATATGATTTTACAAATGCGCTGATATTATTTATACCGTTTTTACAATAATGCAGTAGTCTGCATAACAGTAAATCTATGTTTTGTGTGAATAAAAATTCAGAATGGAAAGCAAGTATAATGTAAGAGGGGCCTGGAGACATGACTAATGAAGAGAGAAAATGTTATTTTAGTGCGAGGAATGTTTGTGTTGTTAATTCTGGACCCTATTTTAAAATTGGCCTTCCTTGAATTGTGTATGAAATTGGCCAAATTACCAATTTCTGATCACTTTATTGGGTAGTTGAAATCTGTAAATGGGTAGTTTCTTGTACTCACTTAGTAGAACAAAAGGAGTTCTAGTGAAATAACTATGAGTTGGGGTGGGTGGAACAATGGAATTGGCAGAAAATAGGGCTCAAAGTGGGCAAAATCAGTGATGCGTAAATATCTCCGAGACTACTAACTTCGCGAGAGTGTAATTCTGTAAGTTTTCCATCATATTTCATACTTTTGTGTCATTACCATCAGGAATCATTTCATTAATTTTTTTATTTAATTCTTTGACACTGAGAGCAAGTTTGTGAGCAGGGATCTTGACAATGAAAGGGTTAAGTACTTGCTTTTAAACAAGAAAATTTTAATTATCTATTTGTACCTACAGGAACAGAGCTATACTTGTGGTATTCCATCCTCAATTATTTGTTCATATAATTTTATTAAAATCTCCAGTAGTTAAAGGGGTTGCTACATTTTCTTGTAATTCATTTCATTGTTCTGCAACATTTGTGAAGAAAAATTTCCTGGTATGCATTCAGCTTCCCGTTTTACTTAGTTTCCAACTGCATATTGCCTTTTTTTTTTTTTTTCCTCCTTCCCTCTTGGAAGTGCAAAAAAAAAAAATTCTAATCTTTCATGTCTGTTTATGACCTATTAGCCAGGGTGGGCATCTTAAGTGCTTTCAGCTTTTCATTCTAACTTGTATGTTTTAACTGTGATAACCATTTTATAGCTCTCTGGATCTTTTCCAACTTTTGCATGTGTTGCCTGAGGTGTGGGCACCACACCACTGCTGCATATTTCAACTTTAGCCTGATGTGTTTTAAACAGTTTCTTAGCATTTCTTCATTCGTATACAGTAGGGCCCCGCTTTACGGCGTTTCACCATACAGCGTTCCGCTAATATGGTGATTTCAAATTATGACAAAAACTTGCTATATGGCTCCTGGTCTTTCTAATATGGTGTGCCCCACCTGGTTTGTTTACATTCTCTGAGTATATATCTATTATATCTGTAAACTTTCCAAAATTTCCAGTGTTTTAAAGTTATTGCATATATTATGTCCTCTGATAATTATACTTATGTGTACTTGTACCTAAATATACTTACACACTGTGCTGGCATGCAGGTACACATTAATATCACTAAGAGTCTCTCTACTCTTGATGCCATATTAATAATAATACGTAATCTCTTGGGCGCATTAAATGTTGTATATGACATTAATATAGATATTTCCATCCATAGTCTTTCATCCATATTAATAATTTACCTTTCATTCCTCCTAGGTTTTAAAGATTCCAAAATACACTCGTGGGAAACTATCTAAAGCTTTCTTAAAATCTAGATAAATACAATCCATTCTGTCCTTAAGGAATCTGTGTACAGTAGCAATTGCTACTACACCAGTAAAAATGCATCCTGATAAGGATATGCTTGCAGCACAGGTTTAACACGTTCAACATGCCAAACGAGTTGTTTCCCGTACAGGTTGGCCATCATTAATCCGGTTCCATCAGTTATCTGGCACTAATTTTGGCTAGCATAATTTCAAATTTCCAGGGTTGCCACACAGACCTGCTGCTACTGTTTGGTGGCGCTACTTGCTGCATAAGTCGTTCAAATTTCTTTTTCTCCATTTATTGTTATAACCTGCTCACTTTTAGCCTTAGCCATGGTTCCCATGAATAAAAGAAATGCTTTTTGTTGTGTAAATCACATACACCGTACATTGTCCATGAAACATAAGGTGGCTTTGAAGATACTGTCGGTCGCCATGAGCTCAACTCGCTCATATAAGCTGTGACTGGTAAATTTGGGCCTACATATGAGAGAAGAGGTCTGTGTGGTAAGTGTGCACTATATAAACAAAAAATCTTGCAGCACGCAGTGCATAATGAGAAAAAACAGTGACCGTGCTTTTGGTATAAAACAGCGACTTTGTGGTGTATTTTTGTATGGTTGTATTCTCGTTTTTTGGTCTCATTTGATAGAATGGAAGACATATTACAGAGATAGATATAATTTTGATTGGTTTCACACTGGAAAGTACCTTAAAATTGAGCTCAAAGTACAGGAAATAGAGGAAATGTTTGACTTTTGCCAATATTCAATACGTGTCCAACTGGCTGGTCTCATATGCAGTCACAAATGGGTTGACATTATTTACACAATTATTACAGTAATGCAGTAGTCTGCATAACAAGCAAGCGTAATATAAGAGGGGCCTGGAGATGTGACTGATGAACAGAGAAAGTTATTTTAATGCTAGGAATATCTGCATTGTTTATTCTAGATCCTATTTTGAAATTGGCATCTTGAAATTTGTGTGAAATTGGCCAAATTACCAATTTCTAACCATTTTATTGGGTAATTGAAATAGGTAAATGGGCGATTTCCTGTACTCAAGCAACAGAACGGAAGGAATGCATGCAAAATAGCTCTGAGTTTGGTAGACTGGAACAATGGAATGGGTCAAAAATAGGGTGTAAAGTGGGTGAAATCACTGATGTGTAAATATTGCCATTGGGTTAAGTGTAGTCTAACCTAATCACTCTGTAATCTGGCAAAATCACTAATCCGGTACCCTACAGGTCCCGATTATGCTGAATTAGTGATGATCACCCTGTATAGTATGTTAAGAAATTACTGTTTTTTTAAGCTTATCTCAGTGTTGATCTTTTTAAACATTCATAATTCTTAAAATTGGTAATGACTTACTACAGGTGGTGAGGTGCCATGGTTAAGCTCAAGTGCAGTTAGTGGGGTAGCATCTGGAGTGTGTGCCAAGGTGTGCATCTACCCTCTGGATGTGCTCAAGAAGAGGATACAAATTCGGGGCTTTGAGGAAGCCCGCAGGCAGTTTGGCAAGGTTTGTTCTGAATATGTCGATGAAGTTTATAATTGCAAGGGCCAAGACATTTATATTTTTAAGTTTTGTACAGTAAACTACTGATTAAGACTAGATCTGTTAGGACATTTTCTTTAAATGAAGGTTGAAAATTTGCGGTGTTATTTAGAAGATTGTGATGCCATGATGTTAATTTGTGATGGTACAAATTTAAGGAAAAAGTATGGAATGTCATGGGAGTTTTCCTCTCTGCCTCATGGCCAGCCTATGGGTCAAACCATTGTCTTTACATTGGAATGTCTAGTCACACTTAATGTATACAACCTCCCATGCCTTGGTTCTCCATGCATCCCATTCCATAATCTTTTTTGTGTTAGTGAATTAATTTTTGATCTTTTCATCATCATGTCTCATGTCTGGATAGTAGATTGCTTCACACTTGATAATTCCTGTACTCATCCAGAATTCCTAATGCAATGTTTTTCCACCAAATACTTATTTAATACAACCACTGGATCATGGAATTATTAGGACATTTAAGTTATAACTACACATACCAGATGATGCAGAAACTTGTTGCAGCAGTGGATGCTGACTGAGACCTTAGAGTAAGAGACTTTTGGCATAAATTTATTATAGCAGATGCCATCAGCTACATCAAAAGCACATGAAGCAAATTGCTCCAGTCAGCATTAAATGCAAAGTGGGAAAAATTATGGCTTAGTGGTGAATAATTTCACAGGATTTTTCCTCAGTTGAGAGCCAGGTTCAGAAAATTGTTCACCTGGCAAGTGAGGGCCTTGAAGATATGCATAATGTGAATGAGCTCTTAGAATACGAGAAAGAAAAAAGTCCAAAGGAAATGTTGGCAGAGCTCAGTGCCCAGATACAAGGGTGACAGATAACAGACTAAGATGAGGAAGAACCTGAAGAAAAACATTTAACATTGCAACAGTTATATGAGAATTCCATGTTACTGATTAAGCTGCAAATTTTTTTGCTGAAGAGGATGCTGACAAAGCTAGAAGCACTGCTCTGAAATTGGGTCTGGAGCACCCAATGATACCTTACCATCAGCTGCATAAAGTAGTGCAGGGTAAAACAGACTAAAGACACATTGCAGAATTCTCCAGTACTCAGGTACAACCATCAACATCAGTGCAAGAACCTCAGCCATCCACCTCAACTAACAATCCAAAATCTTCCATCTTGGCCCAGTAGGGCCGTACCAGCAGCTAGCAATCAGAATTTAATGGAAATATTATTTATGTAACACCTGTAGTGTTACATAAATAATAACATTTTTAGTATATTTTTAAATGTTTATACAGTAGTGTACTGTACAGAGGAACCTTGACTTACGAGTGCCCCAACATACGAGTTTTTAGAGTTACAAGCCGTCACTCGGTCGATTTTTTGCTCTGAGTTACGAGCCAAAATCTGAGTTATGAGCAAGCTTCAGAACGCCGCCACTAGTTCGCACAGCGAACACCACAACATCCACTCAGCAGTGCATGTGTTTACCTCAATGTGGAAGCATTTCTCTTGTGTTGTGCTTGCATTATGTGCAGTTATTTTTGCCGAATTTCTTTTTTCTAACCATGGGTCCTAAGAAAGTAAGTGCAAAGGACAGTGCTGAGATGAAAAAGAGGATGATGTCCATTGCATTAAAGAATGAAATCATAGATATACATGAGCGAGGTGTGCGGGTTGTGAACTTGGCCATGCAGTACTAGCGTAGCACTTCTACGATATGTATGATACTAAAGCAGGAGTTGATAAAGGCTATAATGCCAACCAAGTATATAGCAAGTAGCCTGTCTTTTCCACCCTCCACCTCTGCCAGCATCTGTTCTCCAAGGTACACTTTATAAAACCAGTTTATTTCTTTACATTCTCTATTATAGGTAGTAGGTTGGTAGACAGCAACTGCCCAGGGAGGTACTACCGTCCTGCCAAGTTAGTGTAAAACGGAAACCTGTAATTGTTTTACATGATGGTAGGATTGCTGGTGTCCTTTTTCGATCTCATAAACATGCAAGATTTCAGGTACGTCTTGCTTACACTTAGGTCACACTACACATACATGTTCAAGCATATATATACACACCCCTCTGGGTTTTCTTCTATTTTCTTTCTAGTTCTTGTTCTTGTTTATTTTCTCTTATCTCCATGGGGAAGTGGAACAGAATTCTTCCTCCATAAGCCATGCATGTTGTAAGAGGTGACTAAAATGCCGGGAGCAAGGGTCTAGTAACCCCTTCTTCTGTATAAATTACCAAATTGAAAAAGAAACTTTTGTTTCTCTTTTTGGGCCACCCTGCCTTGGTGGGATACGGCCGGTGCGTTAGAAGAAAAGAAGATATACACACACACAGTGGATCCTCGGTTATCGGCCGTAATCTGTTCCAGAAGCTCGGCCGAAAGCCGAAATAATAATTCCCATAAGAATTAATGTAATTACAATTAATCTGTTTCAGACAAAAATATTCACCAAAATTTTTTTTTTAACAATTAAATCAGTATTTATTACATACCTTTATTGAAGAATAATGCTGGCTTCTGGAATGCCTGCTACACTTCCTGCATGCCTGTTACACTTCCTTGCATGCCTGTTACACTTCCTTGCATGCCAGTTACACTTCCTGCATGCCTGCTACACTTCCTGCATGTCTGCTACATTCCCTGCATGCCCGTTACACTCCCTGCATGCCTGATACACTTCCTGCATGCCTACTACACTTCCTGCATGCCTGCTACACTCCCTGCATGCCTGCTACACTTCATGCTTAAATTCCATGGTTTCTCACTTTCTTTACCACAGGAACTTTACTAGGAACCTTCTTTGGAGCCATGGTTACTTATTTTGTAGTTGCACTGCAGAAAACCAAAAAAACAATGGAAAACAAGCGAAATGTTAGGATGTATGAGCAGAAGCATCCTCACGCACCGAAAGACACAGCCAAACTGACGCTCAAGCGGCCCCAGCCGGTGCACGGACATATCCGAAACGGCTGATCACTGAAATAACTGCCAATCACCGGGAACCAAAAAACTGGCCGATCACCGAGTTGGCCAATAACAGGAACAGCCGATAACAGAGGGTCCACTATAGTATAGAATATGTATATATATTTACAATTATGAGACCTAAAAATATTTGCCATTTTTGGTGGTCTGACATACATAATTTTATTTTTTGATTAGATGCCATTTTCAAAAATGTAATTACCATTTTAATTGGCGGTCAGCTGGGTTTTCATCCAAGTCACCCTGCCTTGGAGAACATCGTTAAGGTATAGAGAGAATAAAAGCAATGGAATAATTGCTCTTGATAGCTGGAATCCAGTGCTTTATTCATTTTCTATTTGTTAATTATAATTAGTGCAGCACTTAGGCACCTATCCCATGAGTTGTTATAAGTGTGTATTTGTAATAGTAATTGTATGTTTCAGTGCATATAATGTGCCCCTCCTACCTCTGAAGTCAGCCTCTCAAGGGAGGTTCTTCACTGCTAGTGAAGGGCTCTTGATTCAAGCATTTGTACCTGCACTTCTCTTCCTTGGATTGAATTTGAATGCCTCCCATTTTCCCCAGGAGCTGTATGACTTCCTAAGGGATTTGCTATTTCCCCACGAATGTAATAATAATACCTCTGAACTCAGGAAAAGCTTTTTGCTGGACTTGGCTTAATAATGATGAAATGTTTAAGCTATTTTCAATTTTTTTTTTTTTTTTTTTTAAGAATGAACAATTATTTGTTGAAAATCTTATTAAAGAAAGTGTTTTTTTCATATCTGAGTGTCCCCTTTCAGATCAGAAACATTTGTCTTGCACTGTTCTAGTCACCAATCAACCAGTGCTTTGTAATATTTTATCTTCTGCCAATGTAATTATAAATTTGTATGTACTTAATTTTTGTTTCAAATTATATCTGATAAATTTCCTATTTTTGTTTTTGCTTAACACACATTTATTTAATATCCCACATAGGAAGTACTGTTCTGTATTTACTTTATTATTTTAACTTGAGAATTCTCTGAAGTGATTCATAATTTTGTTTAACTCATTCCTGTCACAAAATACAAATAAAACACTACTTAAGATATATAAGTGAAAGGCTGTCAGTTGTTATATAATACATAGAACAAAAGGCTTGTGTACCATTTTTTTTTATATTTGTTTATCATATGTGAACTTTTTTCTTTTACTATCGAGAGCTTATCTTAAGATTGTTGTTATGTTTCAGGTGGTTGTGTACCCGAATGCTTGGAAATGTATCGTGCAAATGTGGAAGGAAGAGGGTATCTTAGGCTGTTATAAGGGGTTGTGGCCATCCATGTTGAAAAGTGGATGTGCTTCAGGAAGTATATTTATAACATATGAAGCTACTTGCCATTTTCTTGCTCATATTCATAGTAGTAGAGAGAACAATGATATAAGATAGTATAAAATTAAATATTGTAGTTTATGCCTTTCCCAGCTACTACCTAATGTGCAAGTGATAATGCATTAAATTATATGCCTGCAAACAATTCGTTTTGGTATGGAAATGCTCTGTCATATCATTACCAGTGGTATGTTAGTTAAAAACCTTTGGTTTCTGTGCTGTAAAAAATAACCTTGATATCAAGTTTGGAGTTTCCTTATAATTGTATAAAACAGGTTTGAATAAGCTTTCTTTGCAGATGTCATGTGATGTTCACTGGACTGTATGGTACACTGAATGAGAATAACTATCCCAGTCTACACAAAAGTGAGGGAATGCAAAATTAATGCATTGTTTGGGGGATACTAAAGAAATGTTGTAAATATTGTAAATAGAGGGTAATTCATCTGTCTGGTATTATTTAAACCTTGCTATTTAACAGTAATCTTTGTTTATGCTGGAAATTATATCCTGGACAAACAAAATTATTTTGAATAAATGTTTTAGAAAACTGACAAGTTGATAAATGAGAATTGTGCAACATTTGAGTATCTTTATTCTGGAAATGTTTCACCAGCCAGTGGCTTCTTTAGTCCAGTGCAGAGAAAGGTGTTAGACGAGTTGAGATAATCAGTCCCTTAGCCTGGAGTCGGTGTTCAGTCCATCAATCTTAATAAAAGTAAGTACTGCACTTTTATCTAGATTGATGGAATGAACACATTAACTCCAGGTTAAGGGACTGATTGCATCAACTCCTCATCTAACACCTTTCTCTGCACTGGACCAAAAAAGCCACTGGCTGGCAAAAAGTTTTAGAATAAAGATACTCAAATGCAGCACAAGTGTCTTATTTATCAAACAAAATGATTACAAAAATATAATAAACTCAGGCCAATATCACAAAATAGCCACCCTGGTGGTTTAGTACTTATTTTGTGATTATTATTATAATCAAAACTAACTCGCATGGAGAAATAACAGATCAGAGGACTGCATTTTTTGGGGGGGCTTTGGTCGGGTGCCTCAATGAGAGTCTGAAGTATACACTATTTGTTCTACTGTACATTTCAGTATGTCCATGTGGGCCTTTTTTTTTTTTTTTTTTTTTTTTTTTTTTTGTGAATATGTAAATTTTTTAGATTTGCTGGATAAAAGGTATCTGCAAAATGTGTGGTAAGAGTGTGAGCAAGGTAATATTTATGAAGGGATTAAGTGAAACCAATTAGCTAGACTCGAGTCTTGGAGGTACAAAGTACAGTATCCGAGTCGCTTGAACAGTAATTTAAGCATACTTCTGGCAAAATAGCAATTGCATGAATGATGGTGCATGCATTTCCATTTTCTTTTTTTTTTTTTTTTGTAAGGGGAGTCTCCCTGCCTTGGTGGGAGATGGCTGGTGTTAGAAAAAGTTAAAAATGGGACAGCAGTCTGAAATACATTTGGTTCTCATTTTTTCAAACAATACAACACAGATTCGGATATTTATTTACAAAAATACAAGTTGCAATTTAAACAACATACATAAATTAGTATCTTTCTTTGCAAAACCCATAAGTGTAGCTTTCTGGGCATATCTTACTTTATTATTGGAAAGGGGCAGTACTTAGATAAGGTTAAAGAGCTATTTATGGATTAAGATGTTATGGTAGATGTTGCAGAAAGGCAGAGGCTGGAGACTGCTTGAAAATGTAACATTTCTGTCTAAGAATAAGGAATGAAAGAAAAAAAAATTACAGGGAGTGTGGTTGTATTAAAATTCAGAGTATGTCTCAGGAAGCATTGACAAGGGGATGCCAAGGAAGATTTTAATAGTGACTTAAGCATCCAATAAGCCAGTGTAAACATGTTACATTAGTGACAATACATAGGTTTTTATATTTAATGCACTACCGAGATGTGAACAAGGAAACATTCGAGAAGATTCAGGGAAAGCTGGTTAGCTAGATTTGAGTTCTGAAAGCCGGAAGTACAGTGCCTGCACTGAAAGATGGGCAAGGATGTTGCTGTTTGACAGATCACTGAAACTGCAATGGCCATCCACCTCTGGAAGGATTGCTAGGAAATGAGTGTTTTCCTCTTTGGGTCACCCTGCCTTGGTGAGAAATGGATGGTGTAAAAAATGTTTTCAGCATATACAGTAACACAATTTTAGCAATATTTGGTCTCTTCCTGATATCAACCATGAGATTTTGCATCATTACTAATCCACATTATCACAATTTCTTGAATATGAAATCTAAAATATCAACGTCCTTTCTTCATTACATAGATTTAAAATTAATATCTCGGTTATAATGCATTCTGAAAACAGACATATGTGCAACATCTGGGTATCTTTATGCTGTATAGCCCTTGTGGCTTAGCGCTTCTTTTTGATTATAATAATAATGGGTATCTTTATTGTAGACGTTTTGCCATCCACTGGCTTATCAATACAGATTCCAGGACATAATTGAAGACAGTAGAAATATATATAAAAGATGAAATAATCAGTCAGTCAGCCTTGGAGTTGGTGTGAAGAGCACCATAGTTTTGAAGATTCTGGAGCATAGGCAAGGAGGCTGGTGCTTATACACTAACGTCAGGTGGTGAGGAAAGGGTAGCAGATGAGGGCATAGTCACTGGTAGGCGGGGTTCTCCAATGGAAGTAGGTCATACCCCAAGGGATGGGTAAGAATCTTCATGACTACGGTGCTCTTCACACCATCCAAGGCTGAGGGACTGATTACCTCATCTCTTGTATAGTTCTACTGTCTTCAAATTATGTGCTAGAATCTGTATTGATAAAGCCACTGGGTGGTGAAACGTCTACAATAAAGATTCTCAGATGTTGCACACGTGTCTCAGTTTTCATCTTGTCGGTATTGTATAACATTCTACTGGTAATAGTGGACACATTCAAATGTGTAAATCATTTCCCCAGCACATTTGCTCTCTTCAATACCAAAACACATTAGATAAAGATGAGAGAGGAGAAAAAGCCTTTGCACAAGATTAAAATCTTACTGGCAGTGTAACAAGTGGTACATCCTAAAGGATGTACATGAATGCTGCACTGTTGAGAGAGACTCAGGCAAGTGAGGTGTCCTGTGCTAGTACCTTGACTGTGAGCCATCGAACAACTTCTCTCCAGATTGGCAAGATGTCTGTATTGATTACCTCTCGAGCCTGCATTCTGCATCTGTATCTATACACATCACATTCTTGTGTCCTACAATGATAAAATGTAATTGTGTAAATTATATCTTTTTTTTTTCCACCTAAAATATAAAGGCAGGCAGCTCATCAGTGGTCAGTAAACAGTGATCTTTCAGTATAAAATATGGTACTATAATTTATGGAGAAGGAAGAAATAAAGCTAAAGTTCTTTATGCGTCTATGCATCTTTAGTAGTCTGTAAAACCGAATATGTAAGATTGTATATGAAGCAATCTTTCACCTGTATAATATACAGTAAACTTTTGATTTAATGGATCTCAATTTAATGGACTTTGGAAATGTGGCACAAAATTCAAAGAACAACAGTCTGTTGGTTACATAATTGTCCATTATTGCTACAATAACAGCAAAATAATCTCATCTGCATCTACTACAATTGCCATTACTGTCAACAACTCTCTATTAGTTCATTAAATGCACTATATGGCCCTTGTGGGTTTAGCACTTGGTTTTGATTATAATAATAGTCCATTAAATCAAGGATTTACTTACAGTACAGTACATTACTTGAAATTAATATTTCATAGCTTTTGCTTCCTTGAAAAATATTTAATTACCATTTCAACTTTAATTTTGTTCAGAACAAAGCTGAGCTTAACTTACCTGTCTTCCCCAGTTTTAACAGCTTCAACATATGAGAGGAGCCTAGCGCCCTCTGCAGTATTTAATAGGGTGCGGCTTAGCTCATGGAGGTTTCCTGGGAGCCTGTCAAAAATCATTATACATACTTTAATAGTGTTTACTCAAACAAGCAGTTTAATAATGAAATAGAGATTTTAATAGGGTTAACAGAGACTAAATACATATGTAATATTGTGCTATAAATGTATTGCTAAAAGCTAACCATGGAAAAAAAAAAAATTATTTTTATTTTATAGCAGGGGTATTTAAATGCTAAGAAATAGACTAGATTATGGATGAGGATGAAACAGAAAAATAGTCAACCAAATTTCTCAATATGATAATGTGCTTTTTTTTTATAAATCAGCATGATAAACAGGATATTCAAGCAAGAAAAGGCAAGTTGCTATAACGTTGCCATAGTCGTGACTAAAAACTGAAAAATTCTTAGTACAGTACAGTATATAAATCCCCTTGGTAATTGTGATTATTCTTGATAAGTGAAACTTGGACAAGGAAAAAATCAAATATGATGGGCCCATTTACAAAAAAAGTAACATACATGTACACAATGTTGATCTGACACAGTATCTCAGAGAATATGAAGTTAACATGATCATGTACTGTATAGTACCACAATATATTACAAGGTACCAATATAAACAATATTCCAGCATGTGGAAGAGTTCAGCAACTCATGTGATTGTGATGCCAAACAGTTCATTAAAAAAAGAAAGAAGAATAGATGCTGGAAAGATGTGTAAAAAATGACAACAGTTAGCCAATGCAGGAAGTGTTCCCATACACAAATGAGCATTCTTTACTGTATAAAATAAATAGACATTTCAGAAGCCACATCTTTAAATATCACTAATTTGGTTAATATTGCTATTTATGAAAAAATACCTAGAAAAAAAAGGATTTTGCATGGGAAAGCCATCTATCACATTTTTAACAAAATCATGGTTATTTTTTTTTAGCTTTGGGGTTGTATGCTAAGCCAAAATGGGCACTGTAATAATGCTTGCACATGTGAAAAATTGAAGTTATTTGTAAGATGCCCTTCAAGTAACTACAATATGTGTAATTAAATCTCAGAATTCTAGTTTGATATTTGGGAGTTCAGCTGCTGTGCATTCAATTTAATCAGTTACAGTTATTTAATTGATTTAGAAGTTATAGTTTAGCACTTCTTTTTGATTATAATAATAATTTAGAAATTATATAGGAAAGAAACATGGGCAGCCTACATTTACTTGGATTTTGAAAACAATCTTCAGGCAGAGGTCACCTTGAAAGGCTAATTTGGAAACTACCACAACAGAACTAAGATTCTTTGCTTGAAAGAAAAAATATCTCCGCAAGAAAATGTTACTAGTGAGGTTCCACAAAGATCATTACTTGGTCAGATAGTTTTTAATTTATATACATATGCACATGATTACCCAGAAGAAATAATTACCTATAGTACACTGTATATTAATGTGGGTATTTATTTTTTTAACACATTGGCCACTTCCCACCAAGGCAGGGTAACCCAAAAAGAAAAAAAAAACTTTCATCATCATTCAACACTTTCACCATCACTCATACATAATCACTGTCTTTGCAGAGGTGCTGGTATGACAGTTTAGATGTCCCTCAAAACTGCCAATATCCTAAACTCCTCCTTTAAAGTGCAGGCATTGTACTTCCCATTTCTAGGACTCAAGTCCGGGTAACCAGTTTCCCTGAATCCCTTCACAAAATATTACCCTGCTCACACTCCAACAGCTCGTTAGGTCCCAAAAACCATTTGTCTCCATTCGCTCCTATCTAACATGCTCACACATGCTTGCTGGAAGTCCAAGCTCCTCGCCCACAAAACCTCCTTTACCCCCTCCCTCCAACCTTTTCGGGGACAACCCCTACCCCGCCTTCCTTCCCCAGTAGATTTATACACTCTCCAAGTCATTCTACTTTGTTCCATTCTCTCTAAATGGCCAAACCACTTCAACAATCCCTTTCAGCCCTCAGACTAATACTTTTAGCAACTCCACACCTCCTCCTAATTTCCACACTAAGAATTGTCTGCATAATATTTACACCACACATTGCCCTTAGACACGACATCTCCACTGCCTCCAGCTGCCGCCTTGCTGCAGCATTTACAACACATGCTTCACACCCATGTTGGTACCACTATACTCTTGTACATTCCCTTCTTTGTCTTCATAGATAACGTTCTGTCTCCACAGATACCTCAATGCACCACTCACCTTTTTTCCTTCATCAATTCTATGGTTTACCTCTTCCTTCACTAACCCATCTGCTGACAAGTCAACTCCCAAATATCTGAAAACATCCACTTCTTTCATACTCCCTCCTTCCAATGTGATATCCAATTTTCTTTATCTAAATCATTTGATACCCACATCACCTTACTCTTATCTATATTCATTTTCAACTTTCTAACTTTACACACCCTACCAAACTTGTCCACTAACCTTTGCAACTTTTCTTTAGAATCCCCCAAAAAGCACAGTATCATCAGCAAAAAGTAACTGTGTCAACTCCCATTTTGTATTTGATTCCCCATAATTTAATCCCACCCCTCTCCCCAACACCCTAGCATTTACTTCTTTTACAACCCCATCTATAAATATGTTGAACAACCATGGTGACATTACACATCTCTGTCCAAGACCTACTTTTACTGGGAAGTAATCTCCCTCTTTCCTACACACCCTAACCTCATAAAAACTCTTTACAGCATTCAGTAACTTACTACCTATTCCATACACTTGCAACATCTGCAAACATTGCCCCCTTATCCACTTTTATCATATGCCTTTTCTAAAGCTATAAATGCAATGAAAACTTCCCTACCTTTATCTAAATACTGTTCACATATACCTGTATGCTTCAATGTAAACACCTGAGCTATACATCCTCTACCCATTCTAAAGCCTCCTTACTCATCTGCAATCCTGCTTTCTGTCTTATCTCTAATTCAATCATAACCCTACCATACACTTTACCTGGTAAAGTGTATGGTAGGGTTATGATTGAATTAGTAAACTTATTCCCCTATAATTTTTACAATCTCTTTTGTCCCCTTCCCTTTATATAAAGGAATTATACACACACTGCCAATATATAGGTACCTTCCCCTTTTTTCATTTTTTTTTTTTCAACAAGTCGGCCGTCTCCCACCGAGGCAGGGTGACCCAAAAAAGAAAGAAAATCCCCAAAAAGAAAATGCTTTCATCATCATTCAACACTTTCACCACACTCACACATAATCACTGTTTTTGCAGAGGTGCTCAGAATACAACAGTTTAGAAGCATATACGTATAAAGATACACAACATATATTTATTAAACAAAAATACCAACCACTCCAACACTATATCTCCCCCTGCTTTTAACATTTCTGTCATGATCCCATCAGTTCCAGCTGCTTTACCCCCTTTCATTCTACATAATGCCTCACACACCTCCCTCACACTCACATTCTGTTCTTCTTCACTCCTAAAAGATGTTATACCTCCCTTGCCAGTGCATGAAATTACTGCCTCTTTCATCATCGACATTTAAGAGTTCCTCAAAATATTCCCGCCATCTACCCAATACATCCAGCTCCCCATCTACCAACTCCCCTACTCTGTTTTTAAATGACAAATCCATTCGTTCCCTAGGCTTTTTTAACTTATCTCACTCCAGAGTTTTCACTTATTCTCAGCAAAATTTCTTGACAGTGCCTCTCTCACTATCATTTGCTCTCCTTTTGCACTCTCTCACCATTCTCTTCACCTTTCTTGTACTCTCCATAACTCTGCCTTTCTTACAACACTTCTGCTTTGTAAAAACCTCTCATAAGCTACCTTTTTTTCTTTCATCGCACCCTTTATCCCATCAAAAAAAATATCTTATGCAAAATAGGAAATCTAAATACATAATTCTGTAATTAGACTTACACTACTCACCTTTTTCCTTCATCAATTCTATGGTTAACTTCATCCTTCATAAATCCATCCGCTGACACGTCAACTCCCAAATATCTAAAAACATTCACTTCTTCCATACCCCTCCTCTCCAATTTGATATCCAATTTTTCTTTATCTAAATCATTTGATACCCTCATCACCTTACTCTTTTCTATGTTCACTTCCAACTTTCTACCTTTACACACACTCCCAAACTCGTCCACTAACCTTTGCAACTTTTCTTTAGAATCTCCCATAAGCACAGTATCATCAGCAAAAAGTAACTGTGTCAATTCCCATTTTGTATTTGATTCCCCATAATTTAATCCCACCCCTCTCCCCAACACCCTAGCATTTACTTCTTTTACAACCCTATCTATAAATATATTAAACAACTATGGTGAGATTACATATATCCCTGTCTAAGACCTACTTTTACCGAGAAGTTGTCTCCCTCTCTTCTACACACCCTAACCCAAGCCTCACTATCCTCATAAAAATTCTTTACAGCATTTAGTAACTTACTACCTATTCCATATACTTGCAACATCTGCCACATTGCTCCCCTATCCACTCTATCATATGCTTTTTCTATATCCCTGAATGCAATGAAAACTTCCCTACCTTTATCTAAATACTGTTCACATATATGCTTCAATGTAAACACTTGATCTACACATCCCCTACCCACTCTAAATCCTCCTTGCTCATCCGCAATCCCACATTCTGTCTTGCCTCTAATTCTTTCAATAATAACCCTACCATACGCTTTTCCTGGTATACTCAGTAAACTTATTCCTCTATAATTTTTACAATCTCTTTTGTCCCCCATCCCCTCTTTCATACATTTATTAAACAAAAATACCAACCACTCCAACACTATATCCCCCCCCTGCTTTTAACATTTCTGTCATGATCTCATCAGTTCCAGCTGCTTTACTCCCTTTCATTTTACGTAATGCTTCACGCACCTCCCCCACACTCACATCCTGCTCTTCTTCACTCTTAAAAGATGGTATACCTCCCTGGCCAGTGCACAAAATTACCACCTCCCTTTCTTCGTCGACATTTAAAAGTTCCTCAAAATATTTCCGCTATCTACCCAATACCTCCATCTCCCCATCTACTAACTCCCCTACTATGTTTTTAACTGACAAATCAATTCGTTCCTTAGGCTTTTTTAACTTGTTTATCTCACTCCAAAATTTTTATTTATTTTCATCAAAATTTCTTGACAGTGCCTCTCCCACTCTATCATCTGCTCTCCTTTTACACTCTCTCACCACTCTCTTCACCTTTCTTTTACTCTCCATATACTCTGCTCTTCTTATAGCACTTCTGCTTTGTAAAAACCTCTCATAAGCTACCTTTTTCTCTTTTATCACACTCTTTACTTCATCATTCCACCAATCACTCCTCTTTCCTCCTGCACCCACCCTCCTATGCCAGAAACTTCTGCCCCACATTCTAATATACTGCATTTTTAAAACTATTCCAACCCTCTTCAACCCCTCCCCCCCACTACTCATACTTGCACTAACCCACCTTTTTGCCAATAGTTGCTTATATCTCACCCGAACTTCTTTCTCCCTTAGTTTATACACTTTCACCTCTCTCTTACTTGTTGCTGCCATTTTCCTTTTGTCCCATCAATGGGCTAGTAACCCCTTTTTCTATACAGATTACTAAAAATAATAAGAAGAAAATGGGTAACTGATATATCGGATCATTATTTAGTTGTAGCTACACTTGCATGTACAAGCATATATCTACACACCTAGGTGAGTACACCTCTCTGGGTTTTCTTCTATTTTCTTATTAGTTCTTGTTCTTGTTTATTTCTTATCTCCATGGGGAAGTGGAACAGAATTCTTCCTCCGTAAGCCATGCTTGTCGTAAGAGGCAACTAACATGCTGGAAGAAAGGGGCTAGTAACCCCTTTACCTGTATACAATAAAGTTAAAAGGAGAAACTTTTGTTTTTCTTTTTGGGCCACCCTGCTTCGATGGGATATGGCCAGTCTGTTGAAAGAAGAATTAGATTATAGAATTTAATGTCTTAGATAAGCTAAATGACACAAGGGTTTAATATTTTTTAATGAATATAACACCTGATAAATGCTACATAATGGAAATTTGCAAAAGCAAAACCAGGTCCCATGCTGAATAAAGATTTTGATCAGAACTTAGATTCATCATAGAAAATGACTGGAAAGGGGGAAAGGAGGGATAAACAAATACATACAGTGGAACCCTGAGTTTTGAATGCATTGACTATCGAATGCTTCGAGTTTCGACCACTTCTTTCAAACCAATTTTGTCCCGAGTATCGAACTTGCCCCATGTTTCGAGCCGTGTACCAGACCTGTCCGCCTGCCTACGTCCCTGCGCAGGCGTTGTGAGCCAGTCTGGCTTTGTTTATGCTTGAATGAACACTAACCTGTGCACTTATTCTAACATTTCACTATTAATTCATTGTGTTTGGTGCTTGTTTGTTAAGTGCGACTGTGAAATAAGCTACCATGGTGGTGATGGTGGATGGTGGTGGATGGTATTGGTGGATGGTATTGGTGGATGGTATTGATGGATGGTATTGGTGGATGGTATTGGTGGATGGTATTGGTGGATGGTATTGGTGGATGGTATTGGTGGATAGTATTGGTGGTGGTGGTGGATGGTGTTAGTGGATGGTAGTGGGGGGTGGGTTGTATTTGTGGATGGTGAATGGTGGTGGGTGATATTGGTGGATGGTGGTGGTGGAGGTGGATGGTGAATGGTGGTGGTGCCTTCTTCAGAGATTAAGGAGACTTGTGCAATGTGGAATAGAATGCAGGCATTTGCTGAAAAATATCACCCTGGGCAAGCTGAAACAAGCCATCTCTGCAACAAGTTCAGTGACAGAACCATGTCCTATTTTAGGGAAATCTTAAAGAAGGGAAGTAACCCCAGATAAGGGCTTGTTACCTAAAGTGTTAATGGAAGGGAATTCCCTTTCCAAACAATAAGTGCTCCCTCACTCCTCCTTCCTATCTTCCAGATACCATCAACAATCTTCAATAAAGGTAAGTAAAAATGTTATTTTATATGTTTATTTAAATGTTTATTTATCTATTACTAATTGTACTATGTATGTTTGTTGTGTGTATGTAAAACTATAATTAATCTCTATAAATGTATTTTTTGTGAATATTTTTGGATTTCTGGAATGGATTAATTTTCTTTACATAATTTCTCATGGCAAATACTGCTTCGAGTTTTGAACATTTCGACTTTAGAACTAGCCCGTGGAATGGATTAAGTTAGAAACTCGGGGTTCCACTGTATAGGAACGCCCCACTTTATGGTGTTTCGTTAATACAGCAGTTTTCAATTATACTCATTTCATTTATTCAGACTTCCTACAGTAAATATATTCACTACTCACCATAAGCTAAAGGACGAAAATATGTTAAGGTAAGTAATGTGTGTATTGTATATATACATACATATTTTTAGGCTTAGCTCTATTGCTAGGCCTAAAAGTGAAAAAAAAAGGCTATGTTTCACTTTACAGTGAAACATTGCCTTTTGCTAATGTCTGAGGTCAATGACATTAGCATTGGAAAAAAAACATAAAATAGCCTTTCCTCTGCATCCTCCATTCCTACTGGCATTGTTTCATTTAAAACAAGATTTTCTGGGACTGGATTACAGTACCCACACTGGTTATGTCTCCTCTGCAATGTAATCATACATGATTTTTTGTCAGGTGTTCTTCAGCAACTAACTTGGTGAATTCATCCAAATACTTTACTTTTTCTATGCAAACCTAAAAGAAATAAGCCAAAGCATTTCTTAAATTTGGAGACCCAGCCAAAGTAACCACAATAGGGTTGTACTGCTTAACTCTTCATTTAATTTTTGGCTTTGCTCATGATCAGACCCTTCAAAGGGAGTGCACTCATTATGGTGATGGGCTCTTTCTTCAAGGAAATGGGGCTACCTCTCTTCCTTGTACTAAGCCTGATTACCTTCCATTCCTCATGTGCTGTATGACCCCTTACATGTTTAGTGCATCTCCATAAATAAAATACTTATCTTTTTTCTTTGTACAGTATTGTAAAGTAAAAGGACACAAGTGCAACTAATGTGACATTTTATTGTGGCAACGTTTTGCTCTCCAGGAGCTTTGCACTTATGTCCTTTTACTTTACACATTGTCGGTAATTCTACCAACATTATTACAATTTGTACAGTATTACTGTATAGTGGAGCATTAATGAAATAGAAAAGGACTATAGTGACGAGCAGAGGTAAAGATTAATGAAGGTTTAAGTGCCAAAGGAAGTCCTGTAGTCTTATTCAAGCATGCAAAAATTTAATGAACCTAAAAACTTGCCTAGTTTCACCATTTATCATGTCTGAAAGTGGGGCAAACGTATCAGGATCTCGAGATACTTCACACAAAACCCGACGACGACACTCTTCGTGGTCCAAGTGGAGGTTGGTGAAGAAATAGTCGAGGCGTGAGAGGCGGGTACTCACATCAAGGCCTCTCTCGCCTACAGCCACACTCGAGGGAATGTCATCAAATGAAGTAAGATGGAAAGGAGGTCTGAAGTCTGATAAGGAAGGAGAGTTAGAAGGAGACAAGTCAGAACTTGGAGAGTATGAAGGGTTTCCTGCTGGACGGTTGTTGTGGGATGGATGTACAGATGGGGATGGCCGATAAGAAGGGAAGGACGAGAAGATGGAAAAGATGAAGAAAATGGACGAAGATAGTGGTAGTCGATTGGATCTTCAAAGTCAAGACCTGGTGGACAGATTACAGAAGCTGAAATATAATGTTGCAGTTTCCATGCATTTAAAAACAATTAGTAAAGGGCACATGCTTGTCTAGCAAGTAAATAAAGTTCATAAATCTTGAAAAAAAGTCTGTATGAAAGCCAGGTAGATAACATTAACCTTTTTATATCCTGTACCAGACAAGTACTGCTTTGTAACTTTGCTTGTAAAGCAAAGATCATTTTGCCAAACAATCTAAGCATATGGCCAGTTTTGGCTAAAACCCAGCAAAATTACTCTGAGCATCACAAAATTAATATTCAGTACAGTATTTTGTCACATCAATAATTTTTTTTTTTAACAAGCCAGCCAGGTAGAGCGACTCGAAAAAAGACGAAACGCCTAGCATGGGCCAGTAGACCTGCTGCAATGCTCCTTGTTTATGTTCTTTCACCATCACCATCACCATCTTGCCAGAGGAGCACAAACATTAACAATTCAGATGCCCCTCCGAACTGCAATAACCCCACTCCTGCCAAGTGCAGTCACTGTACCTCATCCAAGGAGTTTGACTTTTCCTCCCCTTCCTCACATCAAACCAAATTGCCTTCCATTCCCCAGGTGTTGTATAACCCCTACGGGTGTATCAGTTCCCATGAATGCATAATATTAATAATAATTAATAAAAAGATAACCTATCACAAACTAAAACTTAAGCAAGCTTTGTTGTACTTTTTTACAGTCATGTATACAGTTATTAATATTTGTTTATGCTGACAAGATAATTTTGTTGTGAAAGAAAAAAAGGTTGTACAGGTATGCAAATTCATTACGAAGTCCTCAATGAATATGTCAATATGCAGAAAATTTATAATGAACTAATGTAACACTCATTCACACAGTGAGTGTATACTCCAGGTACAAGAGTTTAGTATTGCATTTTACTTAAAATGTAAGGTAATAAAAATCCATAATCAGTACTTACTTGGCCTAACTTTGTCTGCAGAGTTGGATATGTCATTGTGAGAGAGGTGGTGGTCACCACCATTCCACAATACCCGATTATTAGGGCCTTGTCCTGCTGGTGCCAGTGATGAAGGTATGTGGTTCAGTAGAGGAGCTCTGGGTGTCACTGCCTCTGATTGTTCTCCACCGATGGTGACCCAACCATCAGCATCCTCGGGGCTTCTCTTGTGTCTCGAATTCCCTACATTTTCTTCATCTTTAAACGTGAATGCCCCCACTGAGTCTCTGCTTGTTATATGACTAAGATAAGGCAGTGCTCGGTCTAGAAAATTTTGAACACCTATTTTCACTGGGCTTTCTAGGTTGCTGAGAATATCACTTATACTTGAGTTGGTGGCCAAATGTTTGAAGAAGAGAGCGGTGATGTAAGCAGTGGGGTTGGGAGATTTCATTGCTGCCTCTAGGTCACGACCATTTATGAAAAACCCACTAACAGTGATTGGGATCCAGAATTGAAATTCCACACGGACCTTTCCGCCTGGTGTAAAAGGTGGCACAACATATTTTACCTGAAAGAATAAGTTAGGTCAGTATTATTGTTAAGATAATTGCCCATAACGTTGTAACACTACTAAATGGGTCAGATAATTAAAAGTACTGCTCCCTGATCATTACATAGTTTAAATGTTTAGTGTAAATAATTATGGTTACAGTAAATACACTGTATAGTCCTTGTGGCTTAGCGCTTCTTTTTGATTATAATAATAATAATAATACAGTAAATACATATAACTTTAAAAATATATTTACTTCTAAAACAATGAAAAAATGTCTCAATAGGAAAAGTGCTTTGAATTAAAAGAAAATGAGTTGTAGATTTCACATATTTGTTGAAGTGATAAACTGGTAGAAAAGTCATTCATGTATGGAGGTAGTAATGCAGAACAACTCCACAGGTAGTAATGTGAACTGATGTAGTCCCAAGGGGACGAAACGTTAACAGTGTTATAACCCGAACTTTCTTATTTACACGCATTCAGGATGGGCATGGGGTTCATAATGAAAACATTAAACTAAATTACATTTAGGGAGGTACAGTACAGTACATTGTGAAACGAAACGTGTTAAATGTTTTGTTATCTGGCAGGATTGGCTGTGTTTTCTTTCTATTTCACGTACACTAAAGCGGTAGTTCAAGCTTAAAAAAAATCCTACTTACATTCAGCATACAATTATCTTACAATATGATCGACACCATGCCTAACTCTTCTAGGGTAGGGTAGGTGCCTGAGCCCGAGCTTACAGCTCACAAGACTGTCATTCCCATTAGCCCCCTTGAGGCGGGGATGGACAGACCAGAGAGGCCTAGCTTGTGGCTAGGCCTGGGAACAGTTGGTCCCAAAGATGAGGAGGTACTTGTGCCTCCTCCCATGGGAGACTTAGGTCTCAGTCACTCCCTAAAGGAGGGAGCCAAGGCCTGGCCACCACTTGGAAAAGGCCCGGGCCGGGAGAATTACCGGCGAATCTTAAATAATAATAATAATAACTTACACTATACATACATGTAGTTGTCACTTGGATTTTTTTTTTTTGTAAATTCAGCATACACTCATGTTTACTCTCCTTTGTGGTTTTAATATATTTGCTCTTTCTGCAATACTGTAATTCTTTTCTAAGTGATGAAGCCTGACCTACGACCAAACTGCTTGAGCAGTGATCAACAGAACTCTTAATTAACAGGTATAACTCCTCAGTGTTGTTAAGGGTCGGCTGTCATATCAGCCTGATAGCTGATGCAAGTGTTGTGTAGTAAACCTAGGTAGCTGTTTCATGTGCACCTGTTTACATGGAGTTTACCTGGAGAGAGTTCCGGGGGTCAACGCCCCCGCGGCCCGGTCTGTGACCAGGCCTCATGGTGGATCAGGGCCTGATCAACCAGGCTGTTACTGCTGGCTGCACGCAATCTAACGTAACTGTCATGTAGGAAAAACACGAGTCATGGTCCTGCTACTGGGCACTATAATATTAGTGAGGTCCTCTTCAAGCAGATCTGCTTAAAGAGGACCTCAGTTGGCGGTCGAAATACGTGTGCCGCATACATACCAGCAACGCGAATCATTGAGGACGAAGCATACAACAAAATGCCTGGAATCTGCAGTAATCACTACATCTAATACCATTACACAAAACCAAGGTGATTAACAAATCGCTAAACACCCTGAAATATCATTCTATCATGCAGGAGGAGCCACATGTCTATGGTGCATCCAACAAAATAAGCAGACTCTTGGATGTCACTACCGCCCGGCTCCGGCTGGGTTACAAGTATCTTTGGCAGGTTAAATCACCACCACCAGATGTAGACCAAACGAAATGTAAACTTTGCCAGATGGATTATTGTCACACCTTGCGTCATTATGTACTGGAGTGTGATAAAATTAATGAATTTAGAAACAACTCACTCAGAAGTGTTCAAGAAATGGCTAAGAAATTTTTATCCACAGTGGTATATTACAGACCATTCTGGAGAAATACCCTGATTTTGCTAAGCTGTAAATAAAGCATTACCACATATGGGGCATGTGTGTGTGTGTGTGTGTGTGTGTGTGTGTGTGTGTGTGTGTGTGTGTGTGTGTTTGTGTGTATGTGTGTGAGTGTGAGTGTGTGTGTGTGTGTGTGTGTTGTGTGTGTGTGTGTGTGTGGTGTGTGTGTGTGTGTGTGTGTGTGTGTGTGTTGTGTGTATGTGTGTGAGTGTGTGAGTGTGTGTGTATGTGTGTGAGTGTGTGAGTGTGTGTGTGTGTGTGTGTGTGTGTGTGTGAGTGTGTGTGTGTGTGTGTGTGTGTGTGTGGTGTGTGTGTGTGTGTGTGTGTGTGTGTGTGTGTTTGTGTGTATGTGTGTGAGTGTGTGAGTGTGTGTGTGTTGGTGTGTGGTGTGTGTGTGTGTGTGTGGTGTGTGAGTATGAGTTTTGTGTGTGTGGTGTGTGTGTGTGGGGTGTGTGTGTGTGTGTGGTGGTGTGGTGTGAGTTGTGTGGTTGGTGGGTGTTTGGGTGTGGTGGTTGTGGGGGTTTGTGGTGGTGTGTGTGGTGTGTGTGTGGTTTGTGTGTGTGTGGTGGGGGTTTTGTGTGTTGGGGTTTGTGGGTTGTTTTGGAGGTTGTGTTTTGTTGTGGGGTTTTGGGGGTTTGTTTTTTTTGGGGGTTGTTGTGGTGTTTTTGTTTTTTTTTTTGTTTGGGTTATTGTTTTTGTTTGGGTTTGGGTTTGGGGTATTTTGGGTGTTGTTTTTTTTTTGGGGGGTTTTTTGTTTGGTGGTTGGGGTAAAAATAAATAATTTTCCCAAAAAACTCACTACGGGACCGGGGGAAGGGAATTTATTATTTAAAAAAATTTTCGAATTTAAAAACAAATCCCCTCAAGTATTCATTATTTTAACGGGGAAACCGAAAGGAATTAAACCGGGGGAAATTGACTTAAAAACTTACGCCCGGACCAAATTTATTCCTCAATTTTTTGACTACCCCCACAGGATTTGGGGAAAAAAACTTTAAAAAAACCCAAAATTTCCCTATAAAAAGGCCCCGGGAAAAGGGGGCGAAAACTATTTAAACCAAATCTTTAATAAAAATTTTTTTTTTTTTTGGGGGGCGAAAACCGGGGATTTAACCCCCTGGGGGGGATGGGGGGGGAACATAGTTTTTATTGGGGGAAACTGGGAGCCCCTTTTCCCCTAAATAAACCCCCACCCATAAAAAACCTTCCTTAAAATCCTTGCAACAACCCAAATTTTTTAGGGGTTTCGGGGGGGGAAAAAACTTTTTTAAGAAATTTTTAAATTTTTAATTTTTATTTTTTTATATATTATTTATTAAATAAAATTTTAATATTTTTACTAGGACTTGGATCATCCTAAATTGAACGTCCTCTTTTCATTTTAATTTTTTGGTATATCACAACCCATTTTTGCGATTTAAAATTTTTAAAGGAAAATATTGTCATTATTTAAAAAATTTTAATAAAAAAAAATAAAAAAAAAATTTAAATTTGGCCATGGGCAGAATTCACGGTTAAATGAAACCCACCCTATGGGGTTTGTAATTTAAGGAACACCCCAACCCCCGGGGGGCAGAAAATTACAGGTCTAATTTCCAACTCCCCCCAAATTTTATAAAACTTTTAAACTAAAAAAAAACCTCGGCCCCCTTACGGCCCTGGAGGCCCATCCAAACCCCTATTACCAAAACCCCAAACCCTTACCCTTCCTGATTGGGAAAAACCCCAAAACCCCTTAAAACCTTGCTCCAACCCCCCCCCTATATTTTATCAACCCTATTTTAAACCCCTTTTTATAACGGTCTTATTTTCACTCACCCAAATCCCCCCCTTTCTATTTTTCTGAATTTTTTCCAATTAAAACCCTTGTCATCCTCGGGGGAGTTTTTTCGGGGCCACTTTTCATCCCCTTTTTACTTTTCCAAAATTATACCCCCCCTTTAATTTATTTTTTCAAAGCAGTTTACCCTTGGCCTACCCAAGGGGAAGGGTTTTTGAAAGGGAAAAAAGAAACCAAAAAAAAAAAAAGAAAAGGGGAAAAAAAAAAGGAAAAAAAAAAAGGGGAAAAAAAAAAAGGGGAGAAAAACCTGGGGACCCTATTTTTTATGCTTTTTGATTAACCAAGGGTTTCTATTAGCTTTATTGAAACCCTTTAGCCTTTTGTCTTGGGTTTCAGTTTTCGCTACCAAACCCAAAAACTTTTTCGCAATCCGTAATTTAAATCACTTATTTGTTTATATGTCATGGATTGTCCTTCCAACTTTTAGACTTTGCATTTGCTATATTAAACGCTCTGCACTTTCCGACACTGCATCATCATTCAAATTTTTCCGGGAGTGCCAATGTCCTCGTCAGAATGAATTCGGGGCCTTTTGGTGTCTCGGCAAACTTGCCGAGCCCTCTTTATGCCCTATCTATGTCGTCTAGTAGTTTAAACCGGGGGGCCCCCCAACACTGACCCCTGTGGAACCCCCTCGTGAGCTTCCCCCCCCTTGATTTCCCCCCATTTATGCAAACTCTCGCTGCCTATTTGTCAACCATCCCTTATCCGGGAAAAATTTTTCTCCTCCTATTCCATGTCTTTAATTTTTCCTCATATCTTGATGTGGGACCCTGCAAAACCCTTATAAAGCCCATATACACAATATCAATTCATTCCCAGATCTACCTCCTCAAATACCTTAGTGAAAAAAGTTAAAAATTTCGAAAGGCGGGAAAACGCCCCTTTGTAAAACCTCGAGATTTTTGATTAATTTAGCTTTTAAAGGTGGCTACAAACTGCCTCGGCAATTATTGTTTCCTAAATTTTCCCCACTAGGATGTTAGGTTTTTGGGTTATAGTTCGAAGCAAAGGGCCGTCCCGTTTTGAAAATGGTTCACATTCCTTTTCCCCAACTTTCTGGCACCACCAGTTTTGTGAAAGTTAAAATTTTTCCCAAAGGGGGTTGCAAAGTCCTTTTACTTTCCCTTTAAAAACCCTTGCAACAGTTCATCGGCCTGGGGTTTTGGTTGGGTTTTAATTTATC